ATCATGTCCGACCTCTGACGATCCTTCCAGTTCAGCAACCCTCGCCTTCAAATTGACATTCTCCTCCTTCATTTTCTTCATCTCCTCCATCATCTCGTTCATATCCTTCAGGAGTGCGACCTTGGCCTCGTAATTGCCCTGAAGAGTCGTCAGCTGGTTGAACAGATCAGTTGTCTCCAACTCGAGCTCACTCTCCCTGGCCTTTACCTTCTTAAACTCCTTGAGCGGAATTGTCTCTGTGTTGCCCATGGCCAAGGCCGTCTCCAGTACCCTTATCATTGCCACCACATCCTTATAAATAAGCTTCCTCCTCACCTTGGGGTTCGCGGATAATATTCCTGACGCTTCAAGGTCGGGGACAACAACGGACGCTTCCCCGTCGAAGATCTTATCCTAGAGATAGAACGGCAGAAAAATGAATTTACTCCCGACAAAGCCACTTGAGCCATCAGCCGAGGAAGAATCGAGATTGTCCCATTTATTTTTCTTCTGAGAATCTGGGGTAGGAGGATTAGAGATGCTTCCCAGAGAAGGTGAAGAACCACCCACAAACTTCTCCAACGTCCTCTGTTTCCTAATCGCGTCAACCCTTGAGGTCGACACCTTCTTGACGTTCTTGGCAATAACGGGCATGATAAGACATATGCGCAAATTATAAATTTTCCCTGCAAAAAGGAAAAACAAAAAGGAGGTTATCATGTTCATCGAAACATCAGAAGTACAAGCAAAACTAATCATCTATACCTAGAAGTTTGAAAGCCTCGTCCTTGGTTCTACAGTTGAGGAAATCCTTAGTATTTATATAATGGGCTGCCCGAGCAGGCTCCCCGTCCTCTGCATAAAGAAAATTATTATCCTTGTCAACCCTGGTAGCGGGGATAAAACTCTCCACGAACACCGTCAACTCTTGGAAAGATTTCTTCTCCTCAGTACACAACTAGTCATGCTTTATGAGGAATTGGTCGGTCCTGTATCTGAAATGGGCATACACCCACTCCAGTGGAAACTTTAACATGAGCCTTATCACCTCCCAACCGTCCTCCCCCACTGTTTTCTGAAGAAAGAAGAGGAGGATTGACGGCGGCAAAGAGAACTCTGGCGAAGAATGCGACACCATAATTGTTGTAGAGCAAAATGGGTTGAGAAGAGAAATTAGTGTGAAGTGTGAAAATGAACCCTTGTACCCCCTTTTTATAAGCATTTGCTCGCATAGGAAAGCACAAAAGGGAAGAGTCATCATTGCCTATCCATCCTATACCTCCTAGACCTTAAAAAAAATTGATCACACCACCACACGTGTCAAAAGAGGAAGCTTTCGGTTGGCATTTTTAAGACTGACCCTTCACATTCCTTAAGACAAGTCCCTCTAGCTCCCCGCGGGCACATTCTTCTCGACAAGTCACAGGATATCATCTGAGCAGAAGTCTTGTCGACATGACATTTTCTGTACCTTAAGCGTAAATTTGGTTGACGTAAAACGTCCCTTTCGCGACCACGTCCTCACATCCCAAGGAAGACCACAAGCGATCATTGGTTAACCACACTAACCATAGACAACTGACAGGCACGTCGACGGATATTTTCTTTTGAATAATGAAGACCTCAAAGAGCCTCCCCCGTGACGCGTTTCCTGCCCAACAGTCGACCATCTTTGCTAACTCAAGTCATTACTCCTCACCTCAGAGCAACGACTTGGGGGGCTCTTGTTCTGGACTGTCACATGACCCACAGTTGGGCAAGGCCTAATCCATTCTAGCTTTAGACAAGGCCCAATAAGGAGATTAAGACAATATGAATATTTAGCACAATATGACCGTTGGGCACAGTATAGCCGTTAGAGAATATAGCCGTTGGGGACATCCCCTCATGCGCTTGACAGTTCAAACGACCAACTGCCCCTCCAAAATTCACGGGGACAGTTGGACCAGGTCAAATATCACGCGCTAGATCTTCCACCTGGCAGCCTCCCATTGGTCGACCAGATATTTCGGTCACATGGGAGACCCTGGCCCCGCGCTGGGGGAATCTTATAAATACCCTCTCTCTTGAGAGGGTCAGGTATTCAAATCATTCTAACTCATACCTAAACACTTGTACTTGCTCTCTCTCTCTATCCCAAACTTATTTTGGCATCAGATACCTTGCAGTACACCCCCTCTCCTACAACCACTGCTGTTTGTACATTGAAGGTCACGACGATCCATTCTGATCACTCCAGAATAGAATGTAAAATATGCTCCTTTCAATTGTGTTTCTCTACCAGATCCTACTTTGTATCATACTTTGGTTGGCAGTCTGGTGTACCTTACACTTAACAGACCTAATATTGCTTATGTTTTCATTTTTCCAGTCATGTTGTTGTTTTTCCTACTAAAGTACATTGAGCTTTTTTTTCTCAAAATTTTCATTATCTTCGGTGAACCTAGTTTCAGAGTCTTTTATTTTCCTCATCGTCCTCATTAAATTTAAATGCTTATTCTAATATTGATTGGATTGGTGACTCCACAAATCATAAGTCTACCACAAATTTTTGTATCTTTTTTGGAGACTCTCTTATTTCTTAGAAAAGTAAGAAACAAGATAGTTTATCCCGCTCTTCCATAGAAGATGAGTATCATGTTATAATAACCACCTTTACTGAAATTGTTTGGTTGTGTTGGTTACTTTTGGATATTAATGTCACTCTTTTTAAATCAACTCTCAAGTATTTTGGTAACAAAAGTGTCATTCAAATCGCTCACAACTCAATATTTTATGAATAAAAACATTGAGATTGGTTTTTACTTCACTCATCATCATCTTCATCATAGAACAATTACTCTACTCGCCTCTTCCCCTTTGCAAATTGTTGATTTGTTTACGAACACGCGTTCGATTAAACATTTTCGTTTTTTGATTGACAGACTCTCGATGTTTCTCGTTAATACATCTTAAATTTTAGAGAAGATATTAGATAATATTATTATTTAGAGTTAAATATGTTTGTGATCCTCTTAAATATCTTATATTTAACATTTAGTCCCTCTAAACATTTCCTTTAAAGAATGGTTCTCCTAAAAAATTATACACATTTTTTATCCTTCTTGCTAAAACAGTCGTTAATTCAATCGTTAAGAAGTAAATCGTCATTAATTATATCACTAAGTTGTAAAAATCATCGCTAAATTGTAGGAGAGATGAAAAATATAAATGAAAATTTTTAGAATAATTATTCTTTTAAAAAAAATTAAAAGATTAAAGATAAAATATGAAATATTTTATGAGAACCTCAAATATATTTAACCTTATTATATATTTATTATATCCTAATAAAAATAGGTTAAATATACAACACCCCATCTGCAATGTAGACGATTTTAGTTTACCCTCTATAAAAAAAATTAAATCTCTCCCTTGAAATGTTAAAATTCTATGTCTTTTGCTCCTAAGCGGCAAAGTTATTCCTGAAATATATATTTTTTGTTTACCCCCAGATTAGGCATGACAACATAACTCATACTCGCGAGTACCCACTCGAACCCGCCCCGAAGTTGACGATAAAAATTTACTTTAATTGGGTTTGGGTTTGGGTTTTAATTTTTCCCGATTAAAAAATATGGAGATGGATAATGTAGACATTAGTACCCACCTCGAACTTGCTCCTGAACCCGACCCGTTTATTCATTATGTACATTATATTTTATTTTTGTTAATTTAGAATATTAAATATGTGGTCAATGTTTTGATATTTTGATTTGTATTAATTATTTAAAATATTTGAAATGTATGTATGAAATTTTTAAAATTTTTTTTATTTTATTATTTGTAATGTAACTTAAATATTTCTATTTTAAAAAATTGATTTTTTTAAATGGATGGTGGCGGAGATATCCAAACCCAATCCGAACCTGTTTGGGACGGATTTGAATTTTAATTCTTCATCCTCATTTGAGGTTGAGACAGAAAACGAAGATTGTTAAAAAATTCAAATTTGAATTTGAGGGAAATAAAAATCGTCTGTGATCTGCCTTGTTGCCATACTTACCACAAATTCAGTGTTCAAATTATACATTTAAAAAGTAAAACAAAAAAATATATATTACATGTAAGAATTTCAAAAATAAATATTACAGAAAGGAAAGCAAAATTATATAGGAAGTGTTATATATTTAACCAAAAAATAATTCTATCTTTTCTATTATCTAATATTTATATTGTATTATAATTCTTCCTCGTTAAACTTTTGTCATTCTAATAACAACTTTAGTTTCCTTTCACTTTCCAACAAAAAATAAAATTTAAATAATCCTTTCGCTTAATAAATTGACAAATGTTACTCTCTTATTAAAGTTAATAGCTGATGTCAAATTTTTGTTAAAAAAATAAAAGAAAATACTTAAATTGTTAAAGGTGCTTACCTGAATTTTATTTTTAAATTTTTTATTCTGACAAAGGTTAATTACGAAAACTGTGAATGAGAAACAAAATTGAGCTGCCTAGTGTGTTCCTTTAATATTTCAGATGACTCTTCAAGCTTAGATATAGAGCCCCACGACATATGTTTGTTCCCTGAGATAATTTTAGAGCAACTCAGTGGACAGTGATTAACAATGCATTCTCTACCATCGATGCTACATAATACACGTCATACACAAGAAAAGAGTGGAGTTGGGTTGAATATAACAGATTCCAACTATTATTACATAAACAATGATAGAATCAATGTATTTGTCAACAACAAAAAAAAGTAATAGAACCAATCTAATACACATCCTCGTACTTACGAACCGATACAGTTCCATCCTAACCTAAGACCAAAAAATGTTTTCAAGATAACAGGAATGGAGAACTTCCTAAATTGGGGGTTGTGACCATTAACTGGCTCAATACCACAACATAATGTGATTGGCCACTGGCCAGCCCTCGCCAGAAAACATTATTAACTTTCAGGAACCACATCCTCCAATATTTTTTGCTATTGTACCCCCATCCAGAAGCTTCGCCCTCAATTATTTTCAAATTTATATAAGATTTGAGCTCTTTAAAAATCTGATCGCCCGACAATAACAGGGCCATATTGATTCCAAGAAATCAAGATACTTCTCACCTATCCATTCTGCCAATTGTTTCATCAATTTTATTGTCAGTTGTTTGTAATCTGCACTTTTTATGTTCAGTATTGGCTGTAAAATAAGAGCTTTTATATCTTCTTTGAGCTTTCCACCAAAAACATAGTTTTGGGCTGAATTGCAGTATGAGGGTAAATTCTTAATTACTTTCACAGTTTGCTTAAAGCTGTAGACATAAATTGAACACAGCACTCGCACCATCATGATGTAGAGGGCCACAACGAATGGCCCTATTATCCATAACGGAGTTAACTCCTTGGACACTTCAGGACCATAAATTGCATTAACCGCCAAAAAGAAAGGAGCACTGCAGATAAATATGGAATTAGAATATGAAAAAAAAAAAAAATACAAAGCATTCTTGTCCAATGTATGTTGTTGAGATAATTTAAAAACAAAATAAGCTTAACAGAACTTCAAAAAGTAGTTGCACACGGTGTAGAATATAACTATAATGATAATGATAGGATTCCATATGCTTCTCTTAAAAACTCTAAATGTAACTAGCATAAAACTATTTACCCAGATTCTCAAAGGAGTTCCAAAACTCATTTAAGCATGAATAATAACTCTTAGACTTTGAGTCGAGTCTAACTCAACTTTACAAAACCAGGATGTGAGGTGAGGACTTCCCAATGACCTGAAGTGTGGACGATGCAGGAAGCCCAACAACAGATTTAAGATCGCTCTGATACTGCGATACCATCTTAAAACTTGGATTGGCCCAAACTCAAGCATTCTAAACCAACTTGTAAGGTGAGGACTTCCCAAGCTTTATATACGTCATACATACTACACAGACCATCTCTTTAGGCAAAATGAAAACTAAACCCAACCTTTCATGCCCAGCACAATGAGCCTGAAGTGCGGACAATGCAGAAAGCCCAACAACAGATCTAGGATAACTCTATATTATCTTTATAATTTGGATTGACTTAAACTCAACCATACAAAACCGACTTGTAAGGTGAGGACTTCTCAAGCTTTAACACTACACAGACCATCTCTCTAGGCAATATGGAACTATGGAACTAAATCCACACCTTCACACTCGACACAATAAAAGTGTTGGAGGCTGCAATCAAAGCAACCCAAATACCGCAATTAGGCGGCTAAGGGAGAACCGCAATGAAGACGGAATTTCCAACAATAACAACAACAAAACACCTAAAAAATTTCATGTAAAAAGGAATGCATAAGCTGGATATTAAAATTGATGGTTACCTAAAAAGACCAATTTATTGATATACTATACATGTTAATAACCTTTTTTTAAGTTAACATATGATGAAATCAAATGCGACTAGAAGATGGAAAATTAACTCTAAGACCTCAATGCATAATGCTTTAATAAGGAATGAACACAAATCCTCTTTCCCCTCTATCTTTTTTTTATAAATATTCTAGGTAAACTCTGATAACCTAAAATTTGCTTGAACAATTAAATCCAAGCTGACAACTGTTGAAATCAAACATGTGACTAGCAGATGACATATTAACTCGAACACCTCAATAACATAATATGCAAATGCCACAATAAGGACTGAACACATATCCTCTCTCTTTCCCAAAATCCCAATTATAGTGAACATAATATGCAGAAATGAACAAACTGTCATACTCACAATATTAAGAGTGGAATCTTTATTGTTGCATCCAGAGACTGAAAAGTAGACCAGACCACCTTCAATATCTGACTTTTTTCAGTCCGCTGCATCCCTTGTGATGTTTTTGATAGAACCTCTGGAGGTGGTTCTCCCAAAGTTTCCTCCACTCCTTGATTTGATGGAGGTGAGTGCATAATTGTCAGCCATTTTTTAAAAAGTTTATGAATAGCAGATGATGCTGCAAGGCTCTCATTTGCACCAGTAAGTGGAACATTACGGGTCTTTGGAGACTCTGACTTAACTTCCCCCTTCTCTTCTACTCTAACCGAGTTCTTGTGGACCTTCAACTCCTTAGCTCTGGCTTCTGAAGCATCATTTTGGTCATTGCCTTTGAAGCCTGTGATAGTCAAAGGTTTAGGCTTGGATCCACAAATGTGAGGAGGCCCTACACTGGAAACAATAAATCCTTTATATGATGCAGAAATAAAGGATCATCTTCCTTTTTATGTAAGTTCTTCGTGTAAAATATGCCTACGACACGAAACTGAAAATTATAATTGAAATCTAAAAGCATTGAAAACAGAATTAATAATATCAGTGATCCGGTAAACAATATATATACGGACTCGAATAAACCATTGATATATGCAAATACACAACTTCGTTTTCCTTTCCCTGGACATAATAACTACAATCACCCATAAACATATTTTCACCTTAGACAATTAGTCTGCTTTAACATGTGATGCCAATCAGCTCTTCCAATCAAGTGACGTTTTGTGAAACACTGCTTCAACTTCATACTTTTGCTCCATGGCAAATTCCTAGATGAAAATGCCACATACAAGCCCTGGAGAAAAAAAAAACAAAGCATCCAGGAAGTTCATAATTCAAAAACTTAATGGATATCAAGATTTGCAGGACAGAACACCTACTAAAATTCAACGAAGAGTCGAAGATCTTTATAAACACTAAATTAATGTCAGGATGGACTTTAGGAGAGGTATTTATATAGCTTCAACTCAAATAAAATTTTATCTTCAGACTAGAAATAAAAACTATTGACTACCTAGTGTTCCTATTATTCAATTTCATATAACAGTTCAATAAATACCATCCTAATACATCACTGCGACTCTAGGGAATACTACAACAACAACCAAGCCTTATCCCACTAAGTGGGGTCGGTTACATGGATCAACCTGTGCCATAATATTCTATCCAAGACCATGCTTCTATCCAAATCGTTAACCTCGAGATCTTTCTTAATAACTTTTGTTATGGTCTTTCTAGGTCTTCCTCTCCCTCTAACTTTCTGACTTCTCTTCATCTGATCTACTCTCCTTACCACATAATCTACGGGTTTTCTCTCTACTCTCTACATGCCAAAACCATCCAAACCTATTTTCCACCATCTTCACTACCATAGGTGTTACCCAACACTCTAATATTTTCATTTCTAATCCTACACTGTCTAGTCTTACCACACATCCAACGCAACATCCTCATCTTTGCTACATCGATATAATTTTCCCTTCAGCTTGAGCGTATCTTTGCAACTCTATGGAATATCATACTCAAATACCATTGAAACAAAACTTTAAGAGCACTATACTGGGCATGCAATAATGCAAATGATTGCCATTGATTACTACTGTTAAGTTCAATTTATCCATAGCAATGCTAGCAGGTTAAAACTTGATGGCAGTGATAACATAAAATTCATTGTAAAAACAATCCAATAAGGTAAAAAAAAGAAAAGTATAGATTACCTGCGGTTGATGAGAAACTAAAACCATTTTATGTCTTTAACCACCAAACTATCCACTCTATAAAAACCTATTCAACAAACATAAAAAAAAATAAAAAATAAAAAAATAAAAACCAATAACTTACAAGCAAGCAATGTCACAGAATTGAAAACGAAATTTATGAAGAAAAATCTGTCAACGACATTGAGGCGGTTCTCCAACTAGGCGTAACGTGTGAAATTCCGAAAAGTGTAATTTTCAAAGGAAACTCGAAGAAAGGAATCAATAACAACACAAAAATTCAATCTATAACGAAAGAGGTTAACCAACAGACATAGAAAAAGGAGCACAATGATCTGATATGTTGATATGAGAAGCAATAATTGCGTACCGTATTGGAAGAGTTGGAATTTGAAGAATTGCGAAAACGAAAGTGTTGAATTGCATGTAGGGTTGGATATTGAGAATTGTCGAATTGAAGCAGATAGGTGCGGTACGGTGAAGAATTGAAAGGGAAATGGAACTCTGCAAACCCTCAACTCAACCGAACGAACCAACACAAGGTTGGATATGGTTATCTTCTCATAAAAATCAAATCTTTTAAATAATTATCATTAATTCATAATTTGATTTAGATAAAAAAGAGTTTGTAACCCTATTTAAATGTTTTTATTCTCTATTTAATTTTAATGATTATTAGAATATTTTATGTATTAATATTTTTAATTAATTAATAATTTAAAATTAAATTATAATTTCGTTGTCTAATTCACGAAATTAATCCACCTATTTTAAAATTAAACACTTTTGATTTTTTACTATTTCACAATACAAACTAATGAAATGTTAGTTTTCAATTATGTTTTATTTATAATGTTCAACAAAGGTTGTTATAATGATTGGTTAAGTTTCACAAATGATGTTTCATTTAAAAATTGACAAATTGTAAATTTTAAATGCACAAATTTTGAAATAGAAAATTTGATCGAAAACTAGACAAAATAGAAAAGCATTACTTACAGTTTTAAACATTATTGTAAATAAGATAAAATAGATGATCATATTGTAATTAATCCTAATTTTAATTATAATTTTTAAAAATTAATTAATTAATACTTCAGTTTTTTTATCCATACTCGTATAACATATTTTCTTCAACTACCAATTTATTAAAAATCAATTGCATACACTTTTTAAATTGTATTTTCACTACAAATTATTTATACTAAGAAATCTGCATTTAAGTAATCAATTAATGTTAATCTTTTACAATCTCATCTCTTATAAGAGTATGACATGTATGTGACATTCATTTTCAAACCTTCACTAATTAAATCACAATTAAATATTACATCTACTTATTTTTACTCTTGATTCAAATTTCAAATTTCTTTTTCCAACATTTTCTCACTTTTATTTTAATTTTTTTCTCTATTTATTTATTATCACTACAAATACTAATTGATCTTACCTGATCAGAAGGGAACCAGTGGCCTACCACGCGTCGTCGATCTGCTAACTGTTCACCAAAAGTATGGGGGAGGAGGGGGTGTACCTGTAAGACACTCCGATGGCAAAGTGAGTAATGGACCAGAGTGGGAGCAAATACAGAAGAGAGGTTAAGAATTAAATACCTGACCCTCTAGTGAAAGAGAGTATTTATAGTGAAACCCCAACGCAGGGCCAACAGTCACTTGTGTTGGGCTGGATTGTCAAACCCAACCCAAGTGACTGTTAGGGCTTACGTGGCGTAGTGAAGACCAACATGTGGTCTTCGTCCTAGTTCAACCGTATCGTGATCTCTGGAAAGTGGGCTGACCAGCTCTTTCGGAGGTGGGTAGTTGTCTGATGACGTGTCCCCGCGGTGGGGGCACATGGAGAACGTGCGGAGGATACGTTGTTCTGCCCAACAGAGGGAGTGTCTGCCTGACGCAATCAGTTATGTCCGACACTGAGCAATTTGGGCCCATCTGGGCCTTCCTTAAATAACGTTGGGTTGGGCCTTCCCGACGGATGGGCAGGCCTGGGCCTAGTCCAAAATAGGAGCCCCCCAAGTCGTAGCTCCAAAGCGAGGGAGCGAGGACTTGATGATACTGTGTCGGGGAGAAAGAATGTGCAAGGAAGGCTCTTCGCGGGGTCTTTTGTGTCGAGGACGAGGAGAGCAAGGAGGAACTTTTTCGGTCTGCCCAGTCAAAGATGTGGGAGCGCGGGGACCATGGCCCTGTCGGGCCGTCAGGTCGAAGAGGGGAAAAGTTGGTATGTCCTCGCCTGTTTGTGCTCGCGGAGGTGAGCGAAGGAACGCGATTGTTTGCGGTGCCACGTGTCTAACAATCACAGGGTCATGTAGGACGGCTACCCTAGGGTACTCGAGTACCTAGGGGCGCTTCGAGTCCCGCGCCGGGTGCATAAATAGGCAAGCCCCTGCCCATTTTCCATTTTTCTCTTTCGCTTACCTACGCACGTGACGATCGATTTTCCGCGCTTGTATTTGTTCGTCAACACCGCCGTAACATCCGTCGCGTACTCTGCCATTACATCCAGTCCAGTAAGTTCTCTTCTTCCATTCTTTTACTTGCTTTATACTTGACGTCGACGTCGGAGGTATGATGAATTCCCCGAGGAGGACGACGGTCCTCCGTCGCATACGGCGACGTATTTTTAGGATTAGAATGAAGGCCCCGAGGACATTTTAGGGTTGTAGCGTGAATGTCACGGGGACGATCGAGGCATTGAGGATGGAGGTCCCGGGGACACATGTTAGGGTTAGAGGCATGCCCCGGGGACGTAGGATAGTGCCAGACGCACGCCCCGGGGACGTAGATGGGGATCAGATGAATCCCCTGAGGAGGGAAGCCCGGGTGGCCGCTGTCTCCGTCGCTCTTTCACTTGACCTGCGGTGGAAGGGTGGATTTTATCTTGAACATCAGATTCACAATTTCCTTCTGCTTTTCAGGTGAATATGACTTCGTGGGTACCAGGGACCATTGATGTTGATGTGGAGCCAGAGGCTCTGGCTGTCAAAGTGCGAACCCGACCGATCGAGGACTGGGTAGCTGAAGAACCACTATGTACACCCTCTTACTTCGTAGATGATGAGAACGACGCCTTCGCGACAGTCGAGAACTGGAGCGCGGAGTCTCCCCTGGGTTGGCAGGCGTATCGGTCGTGGGAGCACCATCGAATCTGCTCATCGTACGAGAAGATGAGGTTCCCGATGTACGAGTTTTGTTTCCGGGAGGTCGGTCTCAGGCTGCCCTTCACAGATTCCAATTGGGCGTCTTTGACTGGCTAAAGTTGGCCCCCTCGCAGCTGCACCCCAACGCAATAGTCTTCATTCGGGCATATGAGCTCGTGTGCCGACATCTGAAGACCGGGGCCACCCTCACGCTGTTTATTTTCCTCTTCCATCTGCAAAGACAAACAGTGGATGCCCGGCACAGGTGGGTTTCGCTAAAACAGTCGAAGAGACTCTTTCGGGTGTATATGGACTCTGTCCGGGACTTTAAGGCTCGTTTCTTCGTGGTCCGAACCGTTTCTTACGAGGCGTGCGACTCCCTCTACCGGTGAGAAGCTCGTGAGGTAAACGGGCAGCGGGAGGACGTTATGGTGTCGAGGGTGCCCCTGGAGTGGACGAAGGAGCATTTTACGAAGGGGACGAACCATTATATTGTGCAGGCAGGGACTATGGACGAGGAAGACTTGGCGGGCTATTAGAAGATAGTATCCTTCGTGGCCAGTTTACCTCCGGCCAGATTGGTGACGCCTGACGACAATTATATTCTAGACAGCCAGGGGCGTGTCTGCCAGCAAAGGAGGTTGATCAACACAAAGGCCCTACTCGAGTGCTCGTCCAACGAGGAGGCTCTCTGTTTCCTTGGTGGTGGTCGACATTTTTCCCGACATTCAGGTTGTTTTTGTTCGTTTTCTGACCTTTTTCTATTTTGTTTTGCAAGGAGCATGTCGTTTGTCGAAGAGCGTGTAAGGAAACTGGCGGCCTCTAGAGCCGTGGAAAAAGTTGGGAAGAGCAGGGTCAACCAGGTGGTCTAGCAGGCCGTAGCAGACCAGGGAGGAAGGAGATTGTTGCGGTGGAAATAGGTGTTGCACCCCAAAATTTGCCCAACCTCTTTCACCTGGTTTATGTTTCATTGCATTATCATTTGCATAGATACATCCTTTACATAGTTCTATCATTTGCATATCATAGCATATCACTCATCCAACAGGGGATCAAGTGTATTCTTATCAAGAGAATCCTAGCAAGGTGTCTTATCCAAGCTTGAGAAGTCATCCAAGCCATCAGGAGATGGTTTGAGGTCTTGAGGAATCTGAATGCCTACATGTGGAGTTTCTCCTAACTTGAGGACTTTTGAGGACCATCAATGGGATGTGAAGCATGGAGTGTGAATATGAGATGTGTATGGATCTCATGGAATTCCTAGAGGGCCATGTTGAAGCTAAATCAAGTCATTGATTCAAGTGCAAGAGCCACAGTTGGAGTGCAGACAACTAGGGTTTCATCTGGGTCAACCCTAAGTCAATTGTGCAATTGAAGAGCATTAAAGCCTACTTTTAGGTCATGGAGTTCAATGATTTATGTGTTGAGACATTTGTGGTGTTGTGCCAAGATCAAATCAAGAAGAATCAAGAATGTGAGAAGTTGCTAAATTAGGGTTTCAGTGCAAAACACCTTGTTTAGTGCCTAACTTCAAGACCACATAAGTCAAGATACAAGTTTCAAATGGATCTTTGGCCAACATGGAACTTGTAGTGAATCTCAATACATTTAATTTGAGTACTAGAAGTCCTCAAGTGGATTTATAGAACTCAAGTTATGGTCCAGACAAGTTACAAGTCACCAGATGAATGTGAAATTTGTCTGAGAAAATCAACCAACTTCCAAGCAACCTTTGCCCTTAAAGGAGGTTTCAAATGGACTTTTTATGAATATGAAAGTTGTTCCTCATGATCTTAGCTTTCCAAAAAGGTATAGAACACCTCATTCTGATTTGTGAAGCTCAAGTTATGATCTTTGCAAGCCAGGGGTATTT